GCGCCAAAGATGGCCCAGATTGGCATAAGCCACTCTGGCTTTCACTATATGTGCATTGATCTCATCACTCACGCCACCACCAACACTTATGCAGCTACCTAGATACACGACTTTCTCGATTACTTTTATTTGCTCACCACCCAGGGTGATTCCAGGATCAGGGTCCTGTCAGTTTTGTAAAAGTACTTTGCACTTTGAAGGTGTAAAGCACATACCATACTTACGGATAGTAATCGTTAACTCATCAAGTGTGGATTGCTTGGCTTGGGTATCATCTCACAGTAAGACAATATCGTCCACATACTCAAGGTCGAGAAGTCTTTCTCCAGGCAACAGATCCACACCACTATTATCTGCATCCATCAGAGCTGCTTCCAGAACGTCGTCGATAGCAAAGTTGAGGAGAAATGGTGAGATTGGGCAACCCTACTTAACCACATTGCTTGAATGGGACAATGGAGAAAGGTGGTTGCATGCCCTCACTCTACCTGAGGTGTTTGTATATAGGGCTTTTAGGATGTTAATAAACTTCTCAGGCACACCCTTCTTCAATAGACAATCCCAGAGAACAGTCCTGTTTAACGAATTGAAGGCGCTCCCCTGTCTGATGTCAAGACACATTGCTATTGTTGGCCTGTGATAAGTATGGCGGTGTTCTAACATTTGGCGGAGGGTGAAGATATGGTCAATACATCCTCGACCAAAACGAAAACCAGACTGCTCCTCGCGAGTCAATCTTTCTCGGGTTTTGAACAACCTACAAAGCATGACGGAAACCAATAGTTTGGACGCAATCGGAAGTAGACTTATCCTCCGATAGTTGTTACTGGAACGATGTGAACCCTTTTTAAAGATAGGGACAACTATTGATTCATTCCATGACTTTGGCACACTCTAGTTCCCAGACCTTTATAGAGAACGTTGTCAGTTCCTTAACCAGAAAGTCACCATCTTTAAAGTCATCTGGGCCCGGTGATTTTGTAGCGCCCTAAGAGTTGGAGTTTCTCGTGGACTTCCGACTCATTTAGTAAACCAGTCGTCACAGGCCGTACAGGGTAGGACAGTCTGGTCGATGTTGCTGGTGCAGCAGACCAGTTGAACTGCCCTCGAAAAACTACCCATCATTTAAGACGTCCATAGATGTTAGTGACTGACATCTCGTCATCTTCACAGATTGTTCTACTCACACCAGACTTCTTGCTGCCATTGGCTCGGATGAATTAAAAGAGCTTCCAGCAGATTAGCGCAAACAAGAGCATGATCAGAGTCCAGATAGGTACTCCGAGTCTCCGGCTAGTACTACTCCTGCTACTACTTCCTGCCGAAGAACTGTTAACTAGTGGTGAAAGTCATCCTTGATCGCATCCGGGCTGCAATTTGTCAGAGCATGGGCGGAGATGACCAAAAGACGTCCTTTCTCATAGCGACTATTTCTCACTTTGATGGAAATTTGTGATTTGACAGCATATAATCGACTGTTAATGGAATCCACTCGATCAGTGCTGCCTCTGCTCTGGCGCTTAGTGCTACACGAACGCCAGCAAAACCAGACGAAGATGCCACAGGGTCCCTGGATAAAGGCACGTAAAACAAACCTTTTGAAGCGACAGATGGAGAGCAAATTTGTAGTAATTCACTAGAGTCTTCAATTCTATTTATTTTATTTATTTGAACACATAAACATTGGTACAAGGAGGCACCAAATAAATGCGAGCCACATAAGTCATTTGATTTGTGTGAGGGCTGGGATACTGCCCGGGTGCCCAAACCGAAGCAGGTGGTTTTCTTAGAGGGTCACACCCTGAGTCTTTGACTTAAAGGTCTAATCCACAAGACAGTGGAGTAACGTCAGGAGATGCAGTCCCATGGTAGCCGGTGACCAACAACTGGTTCATACACCATTTGTTCCTTCAGGATACTGGAGCCCATGTACACCATTGGTTTGGAATGAGGGTTTTTCAACTCCCCTATTTGAACTCTCCGTATCCACCAATCCAGTTAAAGCACCGGACATTCGCTTTTCGTTCTCTGAATTTCGTAAACAACAGTAATGCCGTGAGAAGGCAGTGAGTAGGGCTTCTCTGTCAGTGACTGTGTGCGAATGGTCATGTGAGAGCATTTGGAGAGGGAGCGCGGACTCTCCAGACGCTTGACCTTACCAGGGCATTCGGGGGCTTCATATTTATCATTAAAACTATTAGTAACAATATTTAAAACCTTGGTTGTTGTCAGTTTAAGCTTTTTTGTAAACTGGAATCAATTTTTTTGAATTCGTGGTTCATATTAATAAACTTTGACTTAGGAGGATGTTTACCAATAGTATTTTGATTTCTTGCATCCGTTGAAATATTTACTAGTTCTTGTAAAACACTTCTTCAGGTACTTACTTATTACTGTTGGAGTTTATCATATTAAATGTTCCGACCTGTCGCGACGTGAAATTCTTCGTGATCTGGTAGAAATGTGTTCTGGTGTACAGCATCCTACAAGAGGTCTTTTTTTGAGAAGTTATCTATTGCAATCACTACGAAGTGATCTTCTCCCAGATATTGAGGTACTGTTTAGTTGTATCTGTATTTTATAACCTCCTAATTTGAATTAGATACTTATAAATACAATTATTATTATGCTTTTTCAGAAATGTATCACCACTCACTTTTCACATTTTTGTTCAAGTGCTTTCTAGAATCTATGAGGTGTTGTGTAGTAAAAAAACCCAGATAACAGACGTTCTTTTGCTTACAGTTGTAGTGTGTTTATAAATACTTAAGCTTGTTACCCCTCGTGGAGGAGCACAGGCCGCCCACCATCGAACTCTGTCCTGGGCAATCTCAGTTGTTCCCTGTTGCTATTCATCCTTTTGGTGTTTGCTTCCAATAATCGGAGCAGTGTGTTACTTGGTCTTCCTCTTTTCCACTTCCCTTCAAGATTCCAAGTTAGCGCTTGCACCCTCAAACAATAAATAAATACATGCTTCATGATGCAGTTTGATGATTTCGGTAATGTATGTCTTATCCACTTCCAACGTCCTTTTCTAATTGCCTCTTGAGCTAGAAGCTGGTTTGATCTCTCCCACAGTAGGCTGATTCTGATGATATCTAGCCAACGGATATTGAGTTTTAGTTTGGTGTGTTATCACCAGTTTGTATCAATTTAATCTGCTATTCAACTTCGCTCAACGGAATTAATTTGTATTCAGACATGAGCTACAACTGAATAAACCTATTCACTAATAAATGATGTGAAAAACTCATAGTTCGCTTGTGACACAACTTCATTGTTTGGAATCGTCCGAAAGCCCCAGTTATCTGACTGAAGATTGATCAGTTTTCTCTCACTTTTGGTTAGCTTTTGAATTATGATATCAACTTGTCAGAAGTCAGTCTCGATATATATTTTTGGTATCAGAAAAATTGTAAAGGGATTTTTATTTCTCTGTCATCAATCGTCTAGATTCTTTTAAGGTTATATCGTACGTTTAAATTATCTCATCTGTTCATCAGAAAGCTCTGAATTGATATGGTAGGTGACTTCCTGCATTAGTGTCATTCCTGTGATCCGTGTAAAATGTGACTAATTAACGGTTGGAGACAAATCCGGACTTTCAGTGTGTAACAGTCACAACATAACTGGTATTTCATAAAACCGTTATTTTTATTCACTGGATTTGAGCTCGTTGCTTTAACTGTTTTTTTCTTATCTCGACAACCAGTCAGATGAACATTGTCTAGAAATCCCATTTTCATTAGCGTTTTAAATGATGTGTTATTTGGCTGTGAGAAGTCTAAATGTTTGATGAATTGTAAACATAAACTTGAACTTTCGAAAATACGCAAATTAAGTTTTTTAGGCAGTTCAAACAGACTGACAATAGAATTAAAAGAATTATTCGATCTCATGTTTGAAGGCATTTATGTCCAACCCAGATTTCTTATGGTTATAGGGAACTTCACATTGTTCATTAAATTTCAGTTTGTCAGTGTAATATCAAAGCCAACACTTCTACTTTGCCATTAACTTCAATAACGTTTAATGGTTTTTTGTGATTGACGCAAAAGTGGGATTTTCTGTTTTGGTGCAGAAATATGCTGTAGAGCTTCGGAAGAGGAGCAGCAGATATTTTTTTGTCAATTTCATATTATCTGAATCTAACTGTGCGTAGTATAGGTATGTCTGTCTCTTATTCACGTGGTATATATCTTAGCTAAGTATACAACAAATCTGAATGTCTTAGGTCTTAGTATACATGTGACTCTTCTGTTGAAAAAATCGATGTGATGAGTCTATGCTTTTATGTAAATGCCTCATGTTAAAGCTTCTATTTGATAGGGGGTTGTATTCTGTTAGTATTTTCCGTTGAACTAAAGCTAAATTAAGGGAGACAACGAAAATTTATTTTAAAGTAATGAATACCTTAATGTAGCAGTTTAGCAATTAAAACTAGATATTGAATTCATGTTTCGCTGGGAACAATAAGCACTGTGATTTCCTTACATCTAATTGACAGCTGCCAAGTAAGGCAGTACGCACGGCGTACTTTACTGTTTTTTACTGCCTCATACAGATTACTTTGGTATTTCTAATTTTGCCTGTTATTTATTTAGTTATTTATTATTGCTAATATTATTGATATTCCTAACTCCTATTTCACTATATTTAGGACTCACCATCAACACATGCAGTTGTAAATGAAACGGAAGATGATAGCAACAAAAGTAGTGGTAAATTATCACCTGATGAGAATAAACTAGACGATAACAATAATATTAATGATGATGGTGAACAAAAGATTAGTCAAAAATCAATTCATGTTTACTCACAAGGGACAATCGCTGATAGTATAAACTTCCTATTATTCAATTTTTCGGAAATGAATAAACTTTGGGTACGAATGCAACATCAAGGACATACCAGAGACCGTGAAAAGCGAGAACAAGAACGTCGAGAATTACGTATACTTGTTGGTGCAAATTTGAATCGATTATCCCAATTAGAATCAATCGATGTTGAGCGATATAAAACAGTGAGACCTTTAGCGTGACGTCTTTTATTCATGTTGATGTTCGCAAACATAGAACAATAACGAAATCGGTCGTTACTCATCTCATCAGCAAAAATAAAAATATGAAAGTCACCTTATATAAAAAACACCAGCAACATATCACAAGTCTATTCTTAGGTCTACTGTTGTCATTATTTTATAATCAAAAGGAATTGCTTCAACAATAAACTATACGTAATAAAACTGCTTAAAAATCATCGTATTGTATATATGGGAGTGGTTAATTGAGTCTACGTTTGCATTTCGACTTGTTGACAAAAGAATTCCAATGGTTGAACCAATTTTTGTCTTCGGTGGAAAAAACTAAATTATAAAGCTGTTATGTCCCAAACCTTCACTTATATCTAATTTCATTCATGAAATAATATATACTTCGGTTTGGGCAACCGGATAGTATCATTAGCCCTCACACTCAAAGTGTCGCTCATATTCAAGTATCTAGTGAATGAGTTAATTACGTATTATATTTATGAAATATGACACCATAGATTTGTATTTAGTGTTGTCCATCATTATTACTGTTCAGTTGAAGGACACTTTTGAAAATTATAGAAGATATCATCAATAATAAATACATCTAATAGAAAATCCTAAACTCATATAGTTTACTTGTGTATGCTTACCAATGCACATTGCCATAAATGTCACTTTTAATCGTAACAACTTAACACCTAAATCAATCTTCACTAAACTTCATCGTATCGTTTTTCTGTACGTACTTAGTAGGAAGTCTTCTAAACCCACCTCAGGTTCGTTAGTCTTAAGCTAACTGTCGTCTTATGATTATTCGCAGCTCATATATACGTAGCTTAGTGGTAACGTTTTTAATTGAGCTACCGAATGATTCAGGTTTGAATTTCGTCAGTTGGATTAGTTCCTAATTAATACAGACAAACATGAAACCCTCATATTTGAAGACTAAATTTTAATTCAGTAATAATTTCACCACATTAAGCCTTAATTATCAGCATATCGTCGATCTTTTGTATGGTCATCTTAACATATGACAATATAATTGAGGTTGGAATTACAGACGGATTTGTACTCACTCTTGAATCTACCTGCTCGCTGAGAGTCCTGGGGTTGTATGTGAACACTACTTTATTTTATTTTATTTTAGCACTTAGATATTGGTACAAGGAGGCACCAAATACATATGCGCCACACAGATCTCGTTTGATTTGTGTGAGGGCTGTGATACTGTCCTGGCGCCCAAACCGAAGCAGGTGGTTTTCTACGGGGACCACACCCGGAGCCTTCGACCTGAAGGTCTGATCCACAGGGCAGTGAAGCATCGTAAGGAGATGCAGTCCCATGGTAGTCGGTGACCAACGATTGACTCATACGCCATTTGTTCCTTCAGGATACTGGAGCCCATGTGCACCACTACTAGGGAATCTTGAACAATTAGGTCAAAATAACTGTCTCGTTCTCCTGGGTTTTCATTTATTTTCCAGAGGATGTCAATCTGTGATGAAAAATACTTGAAAATTGATCTAATATTTGAAACCCACATAACTTAGTGTTTACTTATTTGTTTTTTTAGCAAGTCCTACCACCGATTTTGGAACAGATTATTGAGTGCCGTGATGTTATCGCACAAGAATATCTCATGGATGTGGTCATACAGGTAAGTTTGTATTTGCTAGTCAGTAAACTTTATATTGTTTCATTATGTTTACTTGTTGAAATAAACAATTACACTTGATCTAAATGTTGTTTGAATCTTCCCATTAATGTTCAGGATTACATATGTGCATCCAGTTCGGAATGCCTCGATATTGCCATTAATCCACAATCATTTTCAATAGAGATAAATGATGTCTAGCAGTGGGATCCAGGACACTCGTTTCGAACGATCAATACATGTAAATTAATTTTCACCCCATTTCACAAGCTAGTAGCTATATGAAGTCGGTAGCTACGTGGATAACGCAATAGCGTTTGAAGCAGACGGTACTGGATTTGAGTCGCGGAGTAAATATCAACCCTGGAGTGCAGGTACATCCAGCTAGCGAGACCCAGGACGAAACTCTCAACGAGTTTTCCACTGTTAGCCACCATCCATCTATGCTTAAAATGATTCCACTGTTCCTAGAAGATCAGGCGTGTGTTGATAAAATAGTTACTTTGTTCAGAATGTATGCCTGAATATGTCCATTTTGTTCAGTAGGATCACTTGAGGATATAGATTATAAATAACTGGAGCGATTGTTTATATGACTAAAGAAGATAACTTATTAGTGACTTCTTAGTATGTCTAATCGTATTTCTCTTCTAGAACCGGTGGAAATTCGAATTAGTTCCTTCGTGCTATTTCTATTTTTAACCATTTGAAAAACACAATAAGATTTTCTAACATTTCACTTTGGTCATTCAGATATTCTTTTGTAGAAGAAGGGGGCTTACTTAAAACACTAACGTAAAATAGAATTTTTTTAGTAAAAACGTGGTTCTAAACGTACTTTAACATGAATGGTTTTTAATCGTATGTCGATAACTAATTCTGTTAACAGTTTGACAGGCAAACCTATACAGAAATCTAGATAATTTATGAATATGTCTACCCCCGAATTAATAGACTAAGTTCATTTAGGGTTATGTATTACTCTCTGTTAAAGAATACTGAAAAAAACTGAGATCTATAGCTGTCTACTTGTTTGCCCTAACTGTTAATCATTATATACTCATTCAATATGACGCCGATTCACTTAACTTTAATAGTCATCATTTAAGCCTAACTCAATCAGCGAACATTGAGTTTAAACAAATATCACGCCCGGTACTTTTTACTGATCAATTAATTCATCTCTTTTAGTCGATCCCCACCTGTAGCTCTTCTAGTGCTACTGCCAGTCCCAAGCCCTTGTAAAGGAGTAGGGTTGGGCGTAGAAAACAACCTTGCTGAAAGATGCTAACCAGAATAAACAAGTTTTAGTCGATCTCATCAATTTTTACCAATTATTGGATTTCTATCGGAAATAGAATACCTTCTAAATTGATAATAAACATTTGCATACTAGTGACTAATTACAAAAGGTAGCTTTCTGAATTATAGTGAGAAAGCTATTATTCGTGGAGTTCAACCATTTTCAGTGTGAGGCAATTACTCACAAATACTATCGGGAACTAGTTATGCAAAATCACGAATTAGTTGTGCCTCATGCTCGGACTGTCAAGTGCTTCCTCACTTTCAATCGCTGTTTAACTAGGATTACTCTGTTATGTTTACGATACAATACTTTTCATCTGTCATTAAACTTTCAGTCATTGTTTTTCATGTATCGGTGCCGTCCACAAATCAGTTCAACAGGAATCTTTATTATTATTATTATTATCAATGGCTTTATTTATTTATTTAAACACATAAACATTGGTACAATGGGGATTTGTAGTGCTTTAAGAGTTGGAGTTTCTTGTGGACTTCCGACTCATTTGGTGAACCAGTCGTCACAGGCCATGGAGGGTCGGACAGTCTGGTCGATGTTGCTGGGGCAGCAGACCGGTTCAACTCCCCCTCGAAAAACTCTATCCATAATCTAAGACGTCCATAGATGTGAGTGACTGACATCTCGTCATCTTCACAGATTGTTCTACTCACACCAGACTTCTTGCTGCCATTGGCTCGGATGAATTAAAAGAGCTTCCAGCAGATTAGCGCAAACAAGAGCATGATCAGAGTCCAGATAGGTACTCCGAGTCTCCGGCTAGTACTACTCCTGCTACTACTTCCTGCCGAAGAACTGTTAACTAGTGGTGAAAGTCATCCTTGATCGCATCCGGGCTGCAATTTGTCAGAGCATGGGCGGAGATGACCAAAAGACGTCCTTTCTCATAGCGACTATTTCTCACTTTGATGGAAATTTGTGATTTGACAGCATATAATCGACTGTTAATGGAATCCACTCGATCAGTGCTGCCTCTGCTCTGGCGCTTAGTGCTACACGAACGCCAGCAAAACCAGACGAAGATGCCACAGGGTCCCTGGATAAAGGCACGTAAAACAAACCTTTTGAAGCGACAGATGGAGAGCAAATTTGTAGTAATTCACTAGAGTCTTCAATTCTATTTATTTTATTTATTTGAACACATAAACATTGGTACAAGGAGGCACCAAATAAATGCGAGCCACATAAGTCATTTGATTTGTGTGAGGGCTGGGATACTGCCCGGGTGCCCAAACCGAAGCAGGTGGTTTTCTTAGAGGGTCACACCCTGAGTCTTTGACTTAAAGGTCTAATCCACAAGACAGTGGAGTAACGTCAGGAGATGCAGTCCCATGGTAGCCGGTGACCAACAACTGGTTCATACACCATTTGTTCCTTCAGGATACTGGAGCCCATGTACACCATTGGTTTGGAATGAGGGTTTTTCAACTCCCCTATTTGAACTCTCCGTATCCACCAATCCAGTTAAAGCACCGGACATTCGCTTTTCGTTCTCTGAATTTCGTAAACAACAGTAATGCCGTGAGAAGGCAGTGAGTAGGGCTTCTCTGTCAGTGACTGTGTGCGAATGGTCATGTGAGAGCATTTGGAGAGGGAGCGCGGACTCTCCAGACGCTCGACCTTACCAGGGCATTTGGGGGCATTTTTTTATAAAAGTTAATTGGTTTATTCACTATTTTATTTTTGATCGAATTTATAACTCTCAACATAAAGTATTTCAACAAGTTTGTTTTGCTAAACAGAAAAATCCCGGTAACTGCATGTATATATACATAAATTAAGCAAATCAACTACCTGGAATTAAATGAAGTATTTTCAACAGGATTACAATATGCACAACTTTTAATTCGAAACGTGTCTTACAATACAAGTTATTGACTAGGTCAGCTCTAACAACCTGTTCGTCACATTAGTATAATTGTTAGATAATTTATTGTATTTTTTATATCTTTGCTTGTGTGCATGGATGCTGACGTATAGGCGAGGTTCTGAGGAAGCATTGAGTTCAGATGTCTAGTCCCTTGCTTTATCAGACCATTTAGCTTTCAATGGAGTATTTCTCGTACATTCTTTCTTTTACCCTCTCTGATCGTTTTAATTGTGGAGGTGTAATTCGATCTAAACTTATAGAAATAATCTCAGTGGAACAACAAACATTAAGACAGATTTTAAGAATTCAAGTGACAGCATAAACGGTGTTTTCCAATCAGTCATCTTAGAGAATTCCCAGTTTGTCATACGAAACATGTTTTTCGGATTTTGGATATTTTCTGATTATTACCTGTATTTGTCTTTCTTTGTGAGAGTATACTCTTTTCTAGCTAGCCATTTAATTTAGGTAAAACACGAATAATACAATGATCAGAACTAGACAATGGGTCACGGTAACGGGTCGCTTATATTGTCGCATCACTATATGGGCATCCGGACAAGTAGGGAAATCTACTACACTTTGGTAATCCACTGATAAAAGAAAGCTACAGTCACATGAATTAAAATCACATATAATTGAAAGTGAATCACTGAAGGCAGTAACAGTAAATTCATCAGTAAAAACAGATAGCACAGATGATGCGCAGTCCGAAGTCACGTATATGTTGGTAACATAAACATAATTGTACTTGTTCAGGTGTTTTGGAGGGTATCTTAAAGTTCAACAGTCGATAAAGTCATTTGAGAACTTGAAATATGCAAAAGTAGATCGATACCATTCCATATTTACAGATGTAGCTACACCGCCGTCACACCTTTTCTTATTGCTTGATCGATCCTGACAATAAATATTGAAACCTTGTAGAGTGATACTAAACAATCGTCTTGTAAATCACTCAACCAGAATTCTTGAATTGTGATACACATTTAAACCTAGTAGGAATTGAAGATAGTTCATCTTGCCAATTAGTGATCGGCAAGTAAAATTTCGCAGTTCAGGAATCGACATCTTATTAATGTTCATCCTTTTCAATGCATATTGCCAGCCACTACTATGATTGTACTTTTTTGTACCTTGTAAAACGATAGTTCGTAAACTTTTCATATACGTGCCTGAATAGATTATGCAATTAATAGACATAATGATGCGTTAAAGCAAACAAAAATTACTTGTTAAAATATCCAGATGGTAGGAACAGGTAGCCCAGATATTCAAGAACGCCTCCTGATGATATCGTAAGAATTTCTCAATCTTCAATTTATTTTAATAGTTGAAATCATGAGTCAATTGAAGCTAGGCCAACATGGAAAACCTGGAAGCACTGGACGGTCATTTCGTCCTAGTATGGGACTCCATATCTGACCAATATCTTCAGTATTATACTACCTAGAAATATTTATTGTAAATTATCATCAAGAAGTGATTTATTCCTCAAGAATGAATTTTTGTGATTCGCCATATCAAAAACTTTAAACTGCGAAAAAAATTGACTATATCTTTCTAAGATCTTATTCTTGGTGGTTAGTCCTCAAGTCGATATCTAATTACTCTTTAAATCTCCACATCTTTCCCGTTATATATATAATTCAGTATTCAATTGTCCTCTCCATTGTCTTGAGTTTGTGGCTAAAACGTGATATTATGTGGAATTGTGAAACTGAATTATCGGTCATTATGTTGATTAAGTCGTTCAGCTAAACTATGTAGTAGTTATGCAATATGTAACAATCATTAACCAAGAATTCAGGGGAACACTTCTAGCTTGCCAGCTATAAATTACTTGTTTGTCAATTATATCTTTTTTTATCACTCATTTCTCTACTCATCATGATGGTCATTGTATTTTTCTTAAATTCCAATCCATTCAAAAGGTTTTTCCTGATGAGTTTCATTTGGCCACCTTACCTCTGTTGTTGCGTACTTGTAATCATTTACAAGCTGGTGTGAAATTGAAACCGATTGTTTGCAGTCTTATCGATCGGTAAGCATTATGCTTTACTAAAATCAAAGTGAAAATCAACTTACTGTCGTTTATATTATCGGTGACCTTGTTGTTATCATAAGCTTTGCTTTTAAAACAACAATATTTTCTTTAGATTTCGAGTTCTAGTTGCTTTTTGTGTAATTTCTATGTAAAACATCGTGTTATTTGATTCTGCATATTTTTTTGTCTTATGTCTAACTTGTTTATGTTTTCATCCGCATTAATTCGAATGAAGTACATAAATCAAAGAGTATTAGACAAGAAAAAACATGGTAGGTCGGACGATTCCAGACAGACCACACGCTGTCTCAAGGCCACATGGTAGATAAGAAATACAAAAGTGTGTATGGTATTGTAAATTATTTGTCTGAACAATTTTACGGCCTTAAATTTCCTTGGGTCAGTAAAGATGCGCACATACACCCGTAAGTTATCTACAATTTGGTCGATTTGGTTCTTAAAGTTCTCTACCCATTTCTTAGTCATATCCCCTTGCATAGCTGGTTACGTCAAGAATTAAACAGTGCATATTATGCTCATCCAGGAGACATAATACAGCTTCCTGCCAACTTCGTAAAATAAATACTTTGAAGTTTAATACATGGTCATATTGCAAAGTTAAATCAGCTGATCTCAATTAATACTGTTATAAAAGTTTTAATGACCATTTAAGCTTGTTAATATGTGACCCAATAATATAGTATCTGAAACCCTGATTACCTAATTTGGCTTCAGTCAGTCAAATGTAATTTAGAACCTGGCAAGTATGTGAATGTACTTTCAAGTTGCTACACTATATCACCACAGAGAAATGGAATTACCAAGGCAAATGTCAAAGTAGCATAAGTAGTGATAGTAACAGTGTCGGTAGAAATGATTTGAAAAGAAAGCGGGAATAGGTGGGATTAAAAAAGATAATTTTGAAACTCATGATTTAAAAGAAGACGGAGATTTAATACTTCTGGGCTGTCGTGACCGATTCTTGTTCCTGTCACCTGAAGTTCCTGATTGGTTACAATAATCGTACAGATCACAACCAGTTAGCCTAAACCTACCGATACCGCTCAACCCAACTATCAATGACTTTGTGGATTGAATTCGTGTGTTAATTTGGCTACAGCTAACTTTATTTCAATCCACTCCTAAATCAGCAAACATTATGCATCAAGATTGAAAATGGTTGGACAAACGTAACACATGTCCCAACTACCTAATTAACTGATTTATCATCCTTATCTATTACTCTAAGTCTAACTTCAACATTCCTAACTCAATGGTCACAACATATGAAAGTCATGTTTTAAAGGCATTTTCAATCATATGCTAGTAGCTTAGTTTTAGCTTAGATATCGAAATATTATTATTTTTATAAAGTAGATACGGCTCAAATCATATAATACATACTATACTGGGTTACACTAACTTATATTATTCACTTATATTGATTTGTTATACATTTCACTTAATTAGTTTTGTTATTTTGTTTCTTGCTTACTTATTATTAGTTTGTCTAAACATGTAGCTACTGAATTAGAAGCTGGACGTGAATTAAAAATTGAAGTATCATGCAATAATTATTCACCAATTAAAGCAAAAACTTCTTGTAATAATATCAACGGTAATGATGATGATCATAATAATAACGGTAATCATTCTTCTCTACATAATGATAAAGATATATCTTTATCAACAGTTTATGATGTTCAATTAAAAAACTCTAATCAAAATCAAGAGAACATAATAAAGAATGAAATGAATACTTCTAATAATATTGATCAAACTTCCATGTCAACAAAAACAACCACAACAACAACAACAACAACTGATCTTTTCTCATTATTCTTCTATGAAGTAAATCAAATTATTCATGCACGTTTAACATTATGTGAATTAACATTGAATAATTTACAATTATCATCATCATCATCTAATAATAATAATAATAATATGAAAACTCGTCCTACAATACAAACTGTAGCAATAATGAATGGTTTACCATTAGAAGATATTCCAGCATTTTATTCAGTTTTAGTTTATTTAGCTATGATAATTCATCCAAATAATTGTTCTTCCTTAATTGATATTTGTTTAAATGCTACAGCGGATGCATTGAATCATGTTGGTCTAGTTCTGTAAGTTGAAGAAAAAAAAGACAAAGAGAAACAGTTGGGTTTTTTTTAGACTATTTAAACTAATTAAAAAGATGTAATGATGATCGTGTATAACTACTTATACATAGATCAGATTTGAACTTCTATCAGAATTCTATCAAGAAATTCGTTTTGATTTATGGATGAACTGTTTTCTTTTAAAAAAAAATATATGCTATTCGTAGAATAGATGGATTATAACTAGCAGTAGAATCCATAGTGCATGTTTAGACGTGATTGGAACTCGACAGCTTGATGTATGTGTATCCAAGTGTTGATGTACACACTGGTACTCGGTACAAATATTGGTACGAAGGGGCACCGAATATATATGCGCCACACAAGTCACTTGATTTGTGTGTGGGCTGTGATACTACCCGGGTGCCCAGACCGAAGCAAGACTGGTACTCGGACTCTGTACCTTTCGCTTCAAATACCCAGGAATTTATACACTGATCCAGGTAGCCACAAAATGAACATTTATCGACAAACTCTGTTCAAAAGTCAGTCAGGAATATTAACAACGGGATATTTCAAACTCTTGATATTCATAATATAAACATCTACTATTAAGTTGATCACTCACTATCATCGCATGATTTTATATCATTACAATTAATATTAACTTTTTGAGACAAGGTTCATTTTCAGTTGTAATTAGTACTGTGACTAGTGATTTGAAGCTCGCTATGTCTAGTCCCATTAACAACAATTCACTGCTTGTTATTTCCATGGGGAAGGGATTTAGTGTTTTGTTTTGTTGTCAATGGAACATCAATGAAATACTACTTACTTTCACCAGTAACAAATTTATATAAGTGACTGATCAAAAAATTTCATTTTTCATTATTTTTTTTAGTAAGATGATAATGATTAGTTGGTTCATTGCAAGGACATATCGACAGCTACGCAGAACCATAAATTTTAAAACACACTAAACATGATAAGGTCAAACAGTTAATACTTTATATAGAAGAGGTTTGATTAGAATCGTGCTTTGTGATTAATTATATGTATACGTAACTACTGAATTTGAATGTTGTTCAGTGATGTTTAAGTTTCATGCCATTTATAACAGCTCTGATAATATTATTTTATCAGTCATTCATCAATAGCTTTTATTTTTGTTAAATAGTTGATGATAATCGATAGCCAATACCGTAGATAGAGATTTCGAAATGGTTGGTATTCACCAATAAAATCTATTTCCAATCTTAAGTGATCTAATGTCCCTCGTAGAATTCAAGTTTGTGTATGTCGATCATGGTTGGAGACGTTACCATCAAACTGTCGAGGCAGAGACTTTCCTCTTGTAGGATTAGAATGTTTACATGTTTGTATTATGAATACTGCCAAAAAGATATATTCAGTTTGTAGGTCTGATTTAAAATGAAGTATCGAAAACCCTTCTAAACCGCAATTCCATAATTTAACACAGTAGTGTTGATTTACACCCCTTCCTGTTGAATGTCTCTATGAGTTCTGAAATCCAATGTACTAGGATGTATCCAAATGTTTTTCAACCAACATTGTTCTATGTTTTCCCGCTTTTGAAAACTGTATTACTACTCATAATATTAATTCAGAAAACATAATCTAAGTAAATATATATGTTTCTATTTACAGAATACCTTCAGGATCTTCATTATCACGTGATTTACTTCGCCTCCTGTATCTACCATTAGATGGTACATTTCCCCAATCAATGAGTGGTGCTCATCGTATAAGTGCTCCTATATCATCACTTAGCGATTTACGCACAGTGCTAGGAATGTCCGGATTTCGACGTTTAGTTTCATTATTAGATCCAAAAACTACCAAATGTCGATTAGCTTATGATCTATTGAATGCTGCTCTAGAACGTGATCAACGTCAGCGTCAAGTGTTACAATTTACTCAAAATCATTATAAACATGATATAAATAAAGATTCATCATCGTCATGTGCTCATTTATCATCACGTTTGACTACTGAAGCAGATCTAGATAATTTATTTGAATTAATTGATGGATTGTTAACAACTGATCCTAATACATGTGAAGATCCAAATGAATTTATTGATGCACAAAGTTTAATAGCTGGTATGCTACATATTCTAGGACCAAGTCCTAAAAGTCTAGATCCAGATATATGTTTCAAATTGTTTACAAAAGCTCAATTACGTTTAGAACAAGCTGGACACGCAATTGTTCGTTTTAATTTTCCTGCACTTGTTTTTCAAGTAAGATGAGTTCATATTCACGTTTATGGAATTTTTCTTTGAATTATTATTATTATTATCACTTAATGGGTGAAAATTAATTTTGTATACGTAAGAAATTGGCAAGACTATAAAACCATTAACAGTTTGATTTGTATTAGATAGAAAAATGTCGAATATCCTAGCTGTGCTAGCTGTTAGATATTAGAAAGTGATAATTGATGATGTTCCATGGCATGATTTCATTCCATTCATTATCTTCCAAATCATATTTTAATGTGTATTTTTTTTTCTCACTATGTTATTGTTCAGAAGTGAGTTGAATGGCTACATTGCACATAGTTTGTATGTTATTTTGATATTTGTTTTAGTTCATTCTTCCTCATAATAAAAAACAATTCATTTTATTAAATTCACTAGCCTAAAGTGATCGAGGTCGACTATAGTCAGTAGATTATTTTGACTTTTTCAGAATATTTCTATTAATGATTATGATCAAATAATAAATGATTTTACACTAGATAATTATTAGCTTAGATTATGGCTTATTTAAAATGAGAAACTCAGTAGTAACAGTCGACTCTCAAAACAGGCAAGGATAAAATTTATCCATACTTTATGGCAACTTGAACTGATGTACGTACTTACGAAGCTCTACATTGTTACTGAATGACTGACCCATACAGTATAATTGAACATTTATAAAGTGTACCAACCAATGAGTGAACAGTTAGTTTACGAATAACTTATAAAATACAAGAAAGGAAACCATAATATATGGTTTGGACACGTGTTACGTATCCCCAACCACCGACTTCCCCGATGTGCGATGTTTTATGGTGTAGGAGTAGGTTAGAAGAAAGCTAGGGGCGGCCAGACCACGACATGGCACAAATCCATCAAGTCAGTGACAAGTGGACTGAGTCATGTTGGTAGGTGTAGACTACCTGGTTGGGATCCGCGAGATGATAGAAACCAATGGTTAGAGACCTTGAATGACGGCTCAAAATCGTTTGCAATGGTGCAGGTGCATCAACTCTTTGTGTTCTCCCAAATTCTAATCTTCTGAACTCTTCACGTCCCTTTCTTTTTTTTCTCTTTCCGAATTTATTTCACTGGATTATACTCCTTGGATAACATTTTCAAACCCTAATCTTTCCGATTACTGCTTATACTTTTTCTACCTCTACCACTATGGAATGTGAATCGACAATTGTATCTGTGTGCTAATGTGGTATGGCAACTTGAACTGATGTACGTACATACGAGGTTCTACGTTGTTACTGACTGATAATATTATTAACTAATTGCTCATGCATAATACAATTATAATAAACGAATCGTTGATTCTGCAGAAATAGTTCCCATTATTAAATTCTTTGTATGCTGATTAATTTATTTGAAACTGCAACCCTCAAATGAGCAGAAAAACACTACCCATATCCAAACTTTAGTGTTCATTTAATCTACCTACCCTCAATATCTAACGGTCGCAAAGTGACTTAGGAATTCTGGGTGATCTCAAAAAAACATCAGGCTTTTTTGTGTTACGTAAATGGCAATCTCTATTATAGGCAAACACACTGTGCAAATTTCCAGTTTCCCAAAGATATTTAATGTACTATTGTTTATGGTATAATCCCATATTTTAGCAAACATTTCAAATAAAACCTCCCTACTTTTAATAATTGTATTTTGAATTTGTTTATATTCGAAACGAACGAACTATGCCCCTCTTAATACAAGAGATAGACCCTGTCAATTACTCTAATTTCCATTGGAAAATAGTTTGTTTTCTATTAGTATATGTTAAACACTGCGTTGAACATTTTAAAAGTTGCAGTTATAATATTTAAAAATACTTGCCTATTTCTAGAATCTAAAACGAACAAAGTATTTTTTTACTTATCCAAAGTTAATCAGAAGAATTCAGAATGACAAACTAATCGAAACATAATTGTGGAGTAAACATTCTTGGTGAACATAAGAATATGCTTGCTGGGGATGTTAATATTGGGTTATTAAAGGATATTGATATGTTTATGTATTTATTTAAAAATTTGCTGTACAACTAGTTTGACTAGTGAACCATGAGTGTTTGGTATACTCTAGCAACGAGCCAATCAAAATCAAGTACAAGACTTTTAGGTTTTTGCACTTAATTCAAATACTATGTTTGATGAGCAGTAAAAATACTTTTGTGTGCTGCTCAGTAGTTTTAAAACGGTAGCGAAAATTTGTTTTTTTTGCCATTATGAAGTAAAAATGTTTATGTCAGACGTATCGAATGCCCAATTCTATATCTTTAGATTGGATATAGACAGATGAACCTCATCCTTAGATCTTAACCGTAAACCCTTGATTGAGAAACAAACATATACCCGGTGGTGGTGGCACTACATTTTATGAACTAATTGCCCTCCAAATGCTCTGGTACGGCCGAGAGTGGTGAGAGTCAGCTCTTCCTCTCGAAATGCATACAACCACTGACAAGGAAGTCCTACTCACTGCCTTCCCTCGGCACCAGTGTTTGTTTACTAAATTGAGAGGAAGAAAAGCGAATGTCCGATGCTTTAACTGGGTCGGTGGACACGGAGAGTTCAAATAGGGAAGTTGGGAAACCCCCATTCCATACCAATGATGTACATGGGCTCCAGTATCCTGAAGGAACAAATGGTGTATGAACCAGTTGTTGGTCACCGGCTACCATGGGACTGTATCTCCTGACGTTACTCCACTGTCTTGTGGGCCAGGAGTTCAGGCCAAAGGCTCCGGATGTGCTCCCCTAATAAAACCACCTGCTTCGGTTTGGGCACCCGGGCAGTATCCCAGCCCTCGCATAAATCGAATGACCTATGTGGCGCATATCTATTTGGTGCCTCCTTATACCAATGTTTATGTTCTTAAATAAATAAATATAAACTAATTAATCACATAGTACTTGATATGTTTTTAAGTGAAATTCATTCATCTATCTTTCAACAAAGCATTGTCACGTTATTGTCTGATGTCATTTCGTGATTAAAACCCCCAACCCTAAATATTTAACCGTATCTATGTACAATATACAAACTCTTAAAAATCTATTTAATTCCTTTTGAAGAGTTTTAAAATATGGACAAACTGTATCTATTAAAATAAGTTTATATTTTATTGCTTATTAGATTTACCGACAGATTAGCCTGTAAACAGCAACATTAATAAATCTATTAAGTGTGTAAAATCTATTTATTGTTTACATTTCCATATATTATCCATTTATAAAAGCTGTTTTCTAATTGGCTAAGGACAGGTTGGAAATTTGTTGTGATTATGTTTCTCAGTTCGTCCTCATAAAGTGCTTTCTTGCGTTAAGTACCAAAAAAAACCTTTCTATTAATAGTTTATGTATTATGCTATCTATTACTTATTCGATTTTGATATGTCATTTTTGATTAAGATTACTTGTTAATAGCCGTCAAAGTGGTATGATACAATACTGAAATAATTGAAGTGATCGAATTGATGTTTTAACTACAGGATATATTTGTAAATCCTAAATAAATAAATTCTGAATGATAGAACCATTAGGCCAACTGTCTGAGTATATAAACACAGATTTAAAAGAATTAAAGCTTTTATTTACCTGTTCGGGTTGTCCATAATATTTTCAACGTTTCATAATTGTATCAGATCCAGCACTTTTGAATATTTTTCCTTTCATTCATGGGTATAAGTACTTTGTATCGATTTATTATTTTCACGAAAGATTCTAATTTAGGAGTCTAGAATTATCTATAACTATCTGGTTATTAGTTTTATTCCTCTCCCATTACCGAATTCTTAAACCACCCTTTCATTCACACATTTCCACTCACTTGATTCTCTTAAATTATGTGAACTCTTCAAATTCTATTCAATTATTACGTAACCCATCTTATCAGTTTTTATAATGCCATGAATCCTTTATTACCTCTATAATTATCACACAATTTACCTTACCTGTCTCTGAACTCCACTATTACATCACCCATCCGTAATGCTTCCTCGATTCTAACACCTAATAACCTCTGACCTGTTCCTCCATATATATATATATATATATATATATTATAGTTAGGCGCCTGGAGCGAGACTGATAGGTCTTGGGTTCGAATTCCGCGAGGCGGGGTCGTGGATGCGCACTGCTTAGAAGTTCCACAATAGGATGAAACGGCCGTCCAGTGTTTCCAGTTTTTCCATGGTGGTCTAGCATCAATTGACTCATGATCTCAACTGTTGAAATATATAGTTATCATTGATAACATTTGTCATTCCAATCTTCTGCATTCACTTATATCAATTGTTCCATACTATCTCTTATCTCAATGTAAAATTCTAATACATATTTGGTTGTAAACAACTGACGAGAAACCACGAAATATAATGAATTCATATTATTTTGTGTTCTGACCTTATATAACTATCTGGTATATAAGACAGCATACTTCTTGACTCATTACTCACTTATTGGATAATCTTAACCTAGTTATCTATACAAAATATTTATTCAAGTTATGTACAATTATAAGTTGTTACTTTTCAGTATCATAAATAACATAAGTAAACTTCACAAGACAACAACCAATGATTATTCATTGGGACTGCATCTTCTTACGATGCTTCACTACCTTGTGGATCAGACCTTTATGTCGAAGGCTCTGGGTGTGGCCCCCTAAGAAAACCACCTGTTTCGGTTTGAGCACCCGGGCAGTATCACAGCCTTCACACTTATCAAATGAGATTTGTGTGGCGCATATGTATCTGGCGCCCCCTTCCATCAGTATTTATGTGTTCAAATACATAAATAAATAAGATTATTCATTATTTCTTCCTTCTGTAACCATAATCAAAATTTTCTATTTTAATAGAATTTTCATTAATGTTTTTGTTTGTTAGAGTCTTCAATTAATACAAACCTATTATGAATTACGTAATCAAAATTCTAATTGGGAAGAAAGTGTTACAAATGTAGTGAGATTTTGTCATCGTTGTTGTACATGTTTAGTAGCAGCTGATGCATCTGAATCAGCCTTACGATTATTTTTATACTCAGCACTGGTAATTGATAAAATACAATTTACCAATCAAGAATCAATGATATATGAGTTTATTTCACAAGTGAGTATTGTTTCTTTTGTATATGTGTACGTTGTTGTTTTCCCCACTCAGTTTCACTGTTATATGATTTTAATAAATGAAACGTGTTAAGCAGTTAGGTACAGACAAGAAGCTGTATCTATCGATCAAAGTCTAATGATGATAATAAAATCTAGTTCTTTACTTTAACTGTCAACAGACTATTAGATTCGAATGGGTATGACTTTCAGGTTATATATATAATCTTTAGTAAGGGTTTGAACAATTTAGTAGATATCTAGACTCAGTAGCTCAGTAGATACCGTGTTAACGTAAATAGAGCGTACTGGTTTTGAGCTTCAGCGTGAGTATCAACAGTGGGATACACGTACACCCAGCTGACTATCTTCACTAAGGAATCAAATCACTACCAGAATTTCGATTCTATTTAGATTTTTTGCCATCAAGTGGTTCCTATATAGAGTTAGATCAACTTACTGTGCTATTCCTAAGTTTCTGTATGTTTATTACTAATATTTAAAACATGTAGTTACTTAGTTTATGGTTAATTCATTAAAAGATAAAACACTAAACAAGTTAGTAAACATCCTTTCTAAATTATTCGTTTTTTTATTTATATACGGAAGTTAAAGTTTTATAAAATGATACTTGTTGACTAGGCCCCGCGTAGAGTTATGTTCAGACTACTTGGTTTGGTTCTGCATGATTATCATAATCAGTGGTTGGAGAGGCTGGGTGACATCTCGGAATCGGTCACAACAGCGCAAATTCATTCCTAAATCATTTTGTATATGCATAGTCTTCCCTACAACTATTGATTCTGTTATTACTTTTACAACTCTCTCATTTAGCTTGATAATTTCATTTCACTCGGTTGATGTAGTGTGGGAATTTAAACACATTTATACTTATGCTAGGTGTCCACCTCTATTATGACTGACAGATTCTGTTGAATACATATTTAATACTTCGGCTAATCATCTTTCAAGGAGTATGTCATGGGTGCAAACTATATATTAATAACTGAAGTTTCAGAAACTGAACGATATCATTAATCTGTAACTATAAGCTTGACGGAATTCAATGTATATCTTATATTAATTACTTTCAAGTTAGTTTACATGATTTACTGGCTTCAGCTAAGAAAATAATTAAGGGATACTGTACATCTGTTTCTTCCTATTTTGTGACTCTTCAACAGTGTACACTCACAAATCCAAATCAAAATTTTCCGGCCTTCAAATAGGTATATTTTACTTTTGGACTATTGTACTGACATCTAATGGCAACCATTTCCGACTGCAGTCAATTGGCTATACGACGCCACCGGTAATGACTTGTCTAATGCCCAATATAGTTAAACTGACTATCAATCACACGGTGTCTGAATAAGGTATTAGTGATTATCAGAAGGGATTTTGTGGAGATTTTTAGAAATTTGAATAGTTGAAATCATGAGTCAATTAAGGCTAGATCACCATGGAAAACCTGGTAGCACTAAACGGCCGTTTCGTTCTAGTATGGGACAGTGCGCATCCATGATCCCACCCCCTGCGAGACTCGAACCCAGGACCTATCAGTCTGGCGCGCGAGCGCTTAACCACTAGAGCACTGAGCCGGCCGGCATCCAACGGTGTTAGTGTCTAACTTCAACCAATCCACGAAATTGCGCCACCACACACCATTGTTTTCAGTGAGCTGACATCTCACAACAGACCCGGTTGAACTCCGCCGGTAACGGCTTCTCACTAAAACTCCAAGAAATGCCTCTTGAAGTCAGTCATTAGTGAGCAGATGATTGTAATCAGAAGGGGTTTTTTGGAGATCTTAAAAATTTTACTAGTTGAAATCATGAGTCAATTGAAGCTAGACCACCATGGAAAATCTGGTCCTGGGTTCGAACCTCACAGGTGGCGGGATCTTGGATACGCACTGCTGAGGAGTCTCATCCTCGGACGAAATAGTCATCCAATGTTTAGGGGTTTTCAGTGATGGTTTAGCTTTGATTGACTCTTGAATTCAACTGTTAACATGTTTTTGTATATAATATCCATAAATATCATTTAGTTCACTAATAAATAATAAATTTACCGACTTTCCATATTTATACAAATGAATCATAATTCTCAAGGAATGCAAATCACTTACTTTTCAATCAAATTCAATTCTTTATCTAATTTGTTTTCTATTGTTTTTCTATATTTAATTTTTAGGCACTTACACTTTACGAGGAAGCTGTTTCAGATTCTCATGCACAAGTTGAAGCAATTGCATTAATTACTAGTACTTTATATCAAATTAATTGTTTCACTGGTGATAATCAATCTACATTACGTACTCAATGTACACGAGCTGCAGCACGTCTACTACGTAAACATGATCAATGTCGAGCAGTTTGTGCAAGTACACATTTATATTGGCCAACTAAACCATTAATTAGGAAAGGAATTAAGCCAAGTCTACTTATCCCTGTGACAGATAATAATCCTGAAATTTCAACTTATGCAAAATTATCTGAAACGGAAGAATTATCAGATGAATATTACAATAAAGTAATGGGATAAAATAATTAATTTTTTATTTGTATTTCATGTTTTACATCTTAATAATATTAACACGAACGTTCAATGATTGATTTCAATCTCTAGCGTAGCCATTAGTTTGGTATCATAGTCGAGATTGGATATCGTAATGCGTGAATCGAGTTACATTGTTCGGAACAGCCGTCAATAAAGGTCCTACCATACAATTAGGTCGGTTAGAGAATGGTAAGACCAAAAGGAGAAAATCAAGGAGCGGTGGTGTCTTCTCACTCTTAACTGCACTAGGGTATTTCCTTTAGAAAATGTGTATCTACCTTCTCACAGCGGGAAGAGTTAGAAGAAATCTTACTTAATCTCACTGGTTCCCGTAGCCGACAGTAAGACTTTTAATGTTCGGAGCTAGTGCGCCAAGAAATATTATCAAAAAGCCTGTTCATAACCAGCATCGAGCAGTTGTCCGTTGTGCTCTGTAGTTACTTTATCAAATTACGAAGATCACAATTAATAACCAAGTTATAGTTTCAGGTATTTGAAGAAGAAGTATCTTTTTAAGATATGGGCGACCAGTAAGTGATGGCCACTCACAAATCCTTTAACAGCACTCGAATAATTCCAAACGCATTCTATTTCTATTCCAATATTTACTATATGCTGTTTAGTTGTGAGGTAACATATATTGTACTGCATCTTCAATTACTTTTGACTTGATTTGAGTACATTGGTACATACGATGCTTGACGATTAGTCTTGTCAGTTCAATAAGTGATATGTATATTTACAGAAATTACGCATGAAATTTCCAAAATATAACTGGCTAGTTGACTCGAAATGAATATTAACACTTTAATCTTGTATACAAGTTTCATAGATGTATCATACCGCATTATTATACAATTTCAGACCTGTAAAGCTTACTGTTCAATTTAATTTAGTCATTGTATTTGTTGTTTACAAGAAATTATTTGGGATAATAGATCTCCAGAAATCACCTGGTGAACTTCGTATTTTTGTAATTTTATTGTAAAAAGTTGAATTTTTCATTTCCATCTCAATAGCTCCCTTTATTAGCTTCAGTTTGTGTTGCTCACCTGGAAGGACCTTCAACGTCATTGATTCGTTCTCCTGGGCTGGTTATGGAATTATTTATTTTCCTGGTTGAATCTTAACTTCTTGTAGTAAACAGAGCTCGGACGCAGAGTAATAGTTTAGCTTATCTTTTTTTTCAGTTGTTAACTTTTGTTCCGTCCGACAGTCCAAAGTGATATATTAATCCCTCGAATATATCAGAAATACATGCGAATGTACATATAATAACACTATAAAGACAGATTATACGTCAAAGGGAAATATTGGCGATAAATGAATCTATTTATCAATGAGGCAAATTGCATATATATGCTTAATAATTACATTACTAATAGAAGTTATATCGTTTTTATTTGATCATTAGTTTGACAATCAACATTATTTGACTTCAACCACCTTGAAAAAATACGCAATTTCATTTATTGGTCAAATGAAAAATCTTTCTCTATTTTTGAAAAAGAAAGCTAGTTGGATAAAAATTTTCTACTCTGGACGGTCGTCCAATCCTTCCAGGTTTTCCATGGTGGTCTCACTTCAATTGACTTTTGATCTCAACTATTGAAATATTCATTTTTACTTAAATTACTATATCATATATGTAGTAACTATAGATTGGTTACCGTTTTTTTCTCTCATTTTTTTAAATTTTTAGTTACGTGATCCAAAAGGTGTGATTTCATGCTTAGATCGAGCGGCTAGATTTGCCAAAGAATGTATGGATAGTGCTGTTCGTGCACAATTATTTATTGATATTCTTAATCTATCTGTTAATCTTCGTTTATCTGGTTGTGAACAAGTAAATATGATTTTATTATTGTTATCTTGTATTTTTATTTCGCGCCCCCTAATTTTGTTACAGATTAATATTAATGTGATAATATTTTGTTTGCAAACTATTCAAGAGGAGTAAATCACATTGATTTCTTAACCAATACTTGAACACTATCGCTTTAACCATTATATATATATATATATATATAACGCAGCAGTAAGGTGTTTTCCACAGATAGCTAGTATACTGCAGCCTTTCTATGACGGGACAAGGCTAAAAAAGACCGAGTACGGCGCATATATATTTGGTGCCCCCTTGTACCAATATTTATGTGTTCAAACAAATTTTTTTAAAAAAAAAAGACCGACCTTGAAAATAATACCTCATCTTGTTCTAAATTCCCGTCACCGGCAACGAGTCCTTAAAAGGACAGAGCTAACGTATCTAGAACCTTCACAAAGTAAACTGTTTGTCAATGGCCTGAAAAAATTTGTTCCTTAAGCCACGCTTCCAAGTCGTTAGGACCTACTCCCAACACAGAATCATTTTAGGTACTTCGTGTAGTAGTATAGGCAGCTGATAAATGATATCCGCCCTCATACTTCTGACAGAGCTCGAGATCAGCTTATTCATGGTGCTCAAATGCATATTTTGACTGAATAATAAATGCACTGAATCACTTAGTGAACCAACTATCATCATTAAAGATGGTTCCTATTTTCATTTGATTATTACCAGTCAGTCTTGTTTATCTTCCTGTTACAATTGTTTTATATTATTCTATTTATACTTTTCACTTACAAATACATTTTCGCCATGTTCTGTTTTGTCTTTTTTTCTTTACAGATAACTGATGACCGAATAAATGATATCATTAGCGAGATTAGAAATTTACTGAACAGTTTGGAACCATCTCCTGTCACTGATCATATAACAGTACATTTTAAGAATACTTTAAATTATATACGATATGAACAACAACAACAACAGACTACTACTGCTGTCAGTGATTCAGTCAGCATCAGTGTTGATACTGATCCCGATGTTCAGTCATTAAGTAGCAAACTATTTGAATCTGTTCAATTATAATGACAGAATGGTTCTGTTTATTATTATTAATATTCTTATTACATAATGTGTAATAATTTAGTTCAGAAAAATAACTGACATTTCTTTCTTTTGAAAAATACAACTATTGACTACTAGTCTCACAGGATCTTGTGTTTCTATATGTTTTGTGGGTGTATTTTCATTCCGAGTGATTTAACAGAGAGAAAACGATGCCAAACGGTGATCTTACAAATCATTTCAATTCATCTGCTTAATTTATTTGTTTTTTATATATATCACATAAATTCGTCTTCCTTTGAGGACCTTCATACTTTGTCTGTCAGATATATACATGGTGTATACAGATACACATAAATAACCCGTCATGTATGATTGGTGATTTATAGTTGTCCAAAACCTGCATTTTGATTTCTCTCAATTTTAATAATTATGTAACTTTCATTTATTGTGACAAAGAAATTGTGTTGCTATGCTAAACTTTCTTGACAAATGTTGTCTTTCGTGTAGACATTTAATATTGTACCACATTAAATGAATATTATTTCTCAAGCTTCCTTCCTTTCCAAAGAATCATTTATGTGTGTCTATCTGTAAAACTAGTTTTATGACTGTCCATTCCTATTAAATATGCTGATCTTTACTTCACTAGTCATATAAAAAGATGATTTCATTTTTTTCTTAATTTGATTTAACACTACTTACGATTCGAATACATGTTAGTTTCTGAGTAGATTCATTTGATTTTTTTCATTAAAAATAACTGATCTTAGTAATGTTATGACATCGGTCATTATTGTGTTACTGAACCGTTTCATATTTCTAAGTAATGTGCGTAGGGGTATGTCTTACCGTGTTCCGATTTCCCCTTTGCAATTAAGCTATAGCGTAAAATAATAGAAACAACGTTATGTTTCTTTAAGACACTGATATGATGTGAATTGATTCGGTTACCTGCTTGATATGAATATGATTAGTCGACTAACTTTTATAGGAGTATGCAACTAACAAATCAATCAAATCGCTTCCACACAAAAAAAACTCAAAGAGATATTGTAAATCTTGATTCGTTACGTTTAGAGACAAAAAATAAATGCAAAGTTTTCTTCGGTGAGTTATTCGATGCTCACGTAATTGTAGGATGGAGCTCTGTACTATGAACACTCAATTTAGCTTAGATGTACTATCAGCAACTTCATAGAATAGTATTATGTCCTGTGGCAAATATTGAGAATTGCGCAACTTTTCTAAGACAATCTTAATTTTGAATTGCATACTTGATTAATGCATTAAATATGTTATTACAATTTGTAAGCAGTTGAATCAGTGAATCGGTTAAAAAAAATGAACCTGGCGATAATCAGTTGTGATATGGCGAATGATAACTTAATCAGTCAGGGTGCAAATGACATATGAAATTGATTTCTTTTCAGTTTTACGTGACATTCACAACTTAAGAAGGATTATAGATGCTTAATTATATAATATGCCAAATGTATGTTCACACCCAACCGTTGCTGCCACCTTGAAGTGGTGGTCGTGCTTGCCTATCGCGATGAACCATTCGGGCTATACTGGCTGTAATAGGCGTTCCTCAAAGTCCTATCATGCCAGGCAGGTCTATTGAAGACCGGTAAGACTAAAAGCAGCAAACCCAGGGTTCGAAGTCGTACTGCTGACTGCACAGAAGTGTGACGGCAGTAAGATGTTTTCTTCAGAGAACAAGCATAACAGCGATTCTGCCTTCCCACAAGGAGGGATGTGGTTAGAAAAGGTCGACCCTAAAAATGCACATCTCGCCTTATCCCACGGATATCCATCTCCGGCGGTAATGTCTCAACAAGTACGGAGCTAACACAGAAATTACTCACAAAAAGGTCGTGTGTGACCGGCCTCAAGCAGTTGTCTCTTGGGAACTGCGGTCACTAAGACCAACTCTAACCTGATTTTCTCTTCAGGTACCTCTAGAAGAACCCTTCCACGGTGTGGGAGACTGGGAAGTGATAACCGCCCTCATACCTCTAACAGCACTCAAGACTGACGTTTTAATTCTATTTAGCGTATACACCAGTAACATTATTATGAAGCATTGTTCATGTTAAAAGAGTAAACAGTTAATAATCTCACACATACAGTATTTATTTCCTATCATGTATAGATAAAACCCTGAGGAAATTAATTAATTACAATATAAAAATAACAATAATTTTATGTCAGTTTGTGTGTGTTACATAAATCAGATGATTGATCTAGGAATAGGCATGAAAATACATCATTGAAAAAGTTCGAATGATAAAGACATGCTCTTTCACAATCTGGTGAAAAATTCACTTCACATACTACAGGATATATATCTTTTTGATTAGATGAAGCATATCCATTTGAACGCCATTCCAATAGTATATCAACAGCATATAATGCTCGAGATTGGACATTATGAGTTAGACCACGTGGTGGTGGATATTTTGTGGCTGCTTGAAAAATTTCAACTAGAAGTCGATGTATTTTTAGCTATGTGAAAATTAATTTAAAAAAAAGAAACATTTCATAAATTAGGTTGCTTAAAAATAATAGTCAAAATAAGCAAAGATGGATAGTGGCTAGCAGTGGGATCCAGGACGAGCGTTTCGTTTTATTTGAGACTCGTCAGATGAGTGTGCCCGCATCTGTGAGTTGATGTTCACTCTGGGACTCGAAGTCAGTACCTTTCGCTTCAGACGCCATCGCGTTATCCACTCACCTACTGAGTGCTGATAGCCACCTGCTTGTGCAATGTGGTCAAGTTGTATTGACTCGGTGTTGTTTACTTGTATCTTCCCATCGTTATAGTGAGACCTATAAGTCTTAGGTCACAGATGCGCACTGTTGAGGATTCCCGTGCTAAGACGAAGCAGATGTCTGGTGTTTATTAGTTTTCAGTGGTTTTTTAAACGAATATCAGCGAGTGATGTAAACTATGAAGTTCAACGATCTCCACAAGTCTCTTACACTGATAATAATTTCAAAGTAATTGCCATCACTAAGTTATATCAGTTGAAGAATAATTGAAAATGAGAGAACATTGGACAGTTTTGTAGTAATTAAAATACATGTAGGGGGATATTGAAAGATTGAATCATAGGTCTCAAATAGTAGTAGTATAACACTTTGGGTTATACGGTGAAAGGTTTACAAAGTTGGTTTCATTTTTTAAATACACTCTGAGATTGTTTATCTTTGTTCATAAAGTTGTCTGTTGCCTGTGTAGATTAGCTGATAGGATATAGACAGCAATTAATAACTACAGAATGATAATGGTTCCTTTTAATAGAAATGCAAGTTACAAAACTGAATAACTAAGATACACAGTACTAATAGGAAAGTTTACAATACCTCAATTGTTGACCATTTGTGATCTGGATATTGTTTATCGAACAATTCAACAAATTCATCGCAATGTATCTGAGAAATTCAAGAATAAGATGGTTATTATTATGATGACGATGCCGGATGTATTATTATACGCATTACTAACAATTGTTTAATGACTGAGTAGTGACAAAGGTTACATCTCTCTGGTCAGCTAAAATAACTAAGATAAACGTGACATTGGTCATGAAACTTAGGTCAGACAGAAATTCCTGTTGACTATACCTAACCACATAACATTAAGTTGTGTTTTTTTTCAGTTTGAGATTTCATCAATAAAATATTTATTCACGAAATTAAGCGACGCATCCACCATTGTTTTCAATGAGTTACTAACTCACAACAGACCTGGTTGAACTCTACCGGCCACTACTTCTCACTATAACTCCAGGTGGGATCGTGGATGCGCACTGCTAAGGAGTCCCACAATAGGATGAAATGGCCATCCAGTGCTTTCAGGTTTTCGATAGTAGTTTAGCTTCAATCGACTCATGATTTCAACCATTGAAATTACTATAACACCCACAAAAACCCTTCTGATATAAAAATATTTATTCATAACTATAAATGAGCTGATTTTGATTTATTTGTTTTAACACATAAATATTGGTACGAGGAGGCACCAAATACATACGTGCCACACAGATCTCATTTGATATATGTGAGAACTGTGATACTGCACGGGTGCCCAAACCAAAATAGGTGGTTTCCTTAGGGGGTCACACTCGACCTAAAGGTCTGATCCACAAGGCAGTGAAGCATCGTAAGGAGATCCAGTCTCATTGTACTCGGTGACCAACGATTGGTTCATACGCAATTTATTCCTTCAGGATACTGGAGGAATAAGCGTTTTCCAACTCCCCCAGGTGGACTCTCTATGTCCACCACCTCGGTTAAAGCACCGGTCATTCGCTTTTCGTCCTTCCAATTTGGTAAACAACACCCCCGCCACGAGAAGGCAGTGAGTAGGACTTCTCTGACAGAGGCTATATATGCGTGGCCATGTGAGAGCATTTTGAGAGGGAGAGCGGACTCTCCCCACTCTCGGTCGTACCAGGGTATTTGGGGGTTCACCCTGAGCTCAAATATATTTTGATATTGAATATGGAATTTATACTACTGACTAGTGTCAAGTTAAGATGATAATGAACAACCTATTTACTACTTAAATAAGAATAATACTTAGTATACATAATATATTTATAATACTTACTTGTTTCAAACTGTCAGCTGAACGATAATTCATAACTGTGAAATGTCGATCATATGAGTCGAAATCGTCTAAAATAAATGGTCTGTATACAGGAGAGATAGGTATTTCAGAAAGAAAGAAAGGAAAAAAATGAAGACAAATATCTTATTTATATTACTAACAACAACATGTCAATATTTATATGAGATATATTAAATTCATATGATAAACTATTTCTAGTCTTAATAAACAAACAATAAATTATACAAAGATAATCACAGAGAGAGGTTTTGTGGAGATTATAGTAATTTATTACTTCAATTTATGAGTCCATTGAAGCTAGACCACCATGGAAAATCTGGAAGTACTGGACAGTTGTTTCATCCTAGTTTGAATCTTGCAGGACGAGATTGTGGATGCACACTGCTGAGGAGTCCCATACTAGGATGGTGGTCTAGATTCAATTGACTCATGAATTCAATTATTAAATTATACGAAGATATTATATTTTTGTTATACTCTTTAATAATGAAACAATCGTTTATGGAAAACTTTTGAGTGACATCGAAATGATCCTGAGAAAATTCATCTACCTGCTATGGGTTTAAAGAGGATTATAAAGTAGTGTGAGAAATAAAAAATTGAGATTTAGAATTAGGGTTTTCATCACAAAATAACACAAGATATAATGCTATTTAACATAAATGAATTTTGCGCCAAAATCCAAGACTCGTTAACATAAATCTGAATAGTTCATCCATAAATAATAGTCTTGCCTTCTTTAATATATATATCCTAGATGTTACATTTTCTGTACATGTACCTTTTCATTTTGCCTTTTCGTATTACATTCTCAAATGTTTAGTCGTTTTCATTATCATTTCTACCATATCATTTCGAGTTGTTGAGATAATATGGTATGGTGATATAATGGACTAGTGCAGATTCGCGTCACGTTTGATATTGAAATAAGATATAAAAACACATTTTCAAATAATTGAGTTTCATCCTATACTGATGTTAAACATATCTGAGTAGATAATTTGAAGTATGAATGGTTACTTATCATGTCACTAACCTAAACACCTCAACTGTTGATCATATTAGAATTGAAAGTCCACTTGTTCAGTCAAACCGCGTAATCCAGCTTCTTCTGTAGAATTTTAATCATTGTCTTTATAAATATCAATCA